AGAGGAGGATATTCCCAGTTAGCTTGGTCTTTGCAACCATAAAGCACGAAGTGCTCCTTTTATATACTCTGAACTTTTAGGGTTTTTTAAGATTAATTATTATAGTGACTCATTGAGGGCCCTGGACTTGAGACTGTGTCAGCACTTTCCTGCTAACCCCTTATTTTGTGACTGTAAGTAGCAGTCCTTGCTGAACTCCGTGCAGGATCTCTGTAAGGAATACTTGGGGTTTTTCTTGTGGCTCTTCTGTTCAGCTTTGTAAATTGTCAGAAGAGGAGCAGGAAGCAGCACTGAGGCAGGGTTTTCTAATGACAATTATTCCATGTTCACAGCCTGAGCTGCACTGTGTCAGTGAAGGAGCTGAGGTTACAGCCTGGGCTCTCTGTGCAGTGGCTGCCTCAGTGCAGTTACAGCTCAGCTCTTCCAACTGCACTTTATTAGGTATTTTTTAACTATTTTGATAATATGATAGAGTTCATTTTTCAAGCAAATCAGATTTAAATTAGAGGAGTCTGTGAGGTTTGCAGTGTTGACTTAAAAGGATGCAATTAAAAGGAGGAGTGGAACAAACTCCACCTATCTGCTGTAGTTTTCCTAAGCTGCTTTTCTTACACCTAACCCTCATATAGCTTAAAATTACTCTGCTTTTGCTACCACTTAGTTCTTAGACCTACACATACTTCTTTGGTTTATTTCACTATAGTACTAAAATAACCTTTGTCTGCAACAAATTATTTACAGTTTTATGTCAGTTAAGTGAAGAATTACTTGCTTATCAGGATTTTATTGCCCAAAACACTGAAGGAAAGGTACAGGAATTATTTTTGCAGCATGGCTGTATTGTTCTAGTCAGCTCAGTAGGAAGCATAATTCAATTTATTATTTTTTATAAAGAGTAATAGTTGTGAGGCTGGGAGTGAAGTAAGAATTGCTGCTGTTTCTGTAGTTTGGTGGAGGCTGTGCCCTGCTGCCATGGCTGTTGGCACAGGAATGCTGCCATTGCCACTGTTCAGAGGGGCAGCAGGGAGTGCAGGGCAGGCAGGAGGCAGCTGAGCTGATTCTGGGCTCCTTGAGCCACACTCGGGGCTGGAGCAGCTGCAGTCAGGGCTGCGGCCCCTGGCACTGCGGCCCCTGGCACACACTGGCTGTGAAAATGAGGCATTTTCACAGCCGGTGCATTTATCAAATTCAGCGTTGACCCCATCTCCTGTTCCTGGTGTCTGGTGGCAGAAGATTATTCGAAGGTGTGAAATAGCAGCAAAGCAGTGAGGAGGGAGGCTGGCAGCCTCAGCATTCCAGCAGGATCTGCTGGGTGAGCTGAGCAGCCACTGCTGCACAACCTGGGGATGAGTCCACACCTCTGTGTCCATGGATGTGTGCCAGCCTTACTGATTGTGTACTGGAACAGGCAGCTCTAGTTTTCAAGTAACACACCTTTGAGAGAAAGTAAGGGGTCCACATTCTGTGGTTTGTACTTTCTAGGCTACTGAAAAGATCTGTGTATGTATATGGTGTATGCATATGTCCATATACATATTTATATGTTTTCCTCGCATTCTGACCCCTTGGCCAGGTGACGGGCACAGGCTCAGTGGAGCTGAGGGTGCAGGATGTTCCCTTGCTGGGCAGGGCTCTCCAAGGCCTGTGGTGCCATGGGAAGGGTGCAGGGCCGGGCTGAGGGGCTCTGGCAGTGAAAACATGTCCTTTGACACAATTTAAAATGATACATCAAGAAAGGTTACAGCAGGAGCTGAGACCATGTCAGATGGTTGCTGATGGCCCTGAGCTGAGTGTGGTACTTTGCTGGTTTGGAACAGCCCCAGCCCTGCCCGGGAGCTGCTGCAGAGGCTGCCAGCCCCATCAGTGCTCCCCAGGCCTCCACAGCAGCACCAGGCATGTGGTACTGCTGAGGGGGATATGTGATCTTAGAGATCTGCTGTAATAGTCTAATGGATATTTTGCTGACTTTGAAATGTTTCTTAGATACTCCTGACTGCTGTTGTGTAATATGGGCACTGTTGCACAGGGGTTCCTTCTAACTGGTAACTGTCTTAGTTAGATCCATTATGTAGCAAAAGTTCCTCTTTTGTTTCACTTCAGTGGTACAAACGTAACAATCTCAGCATTTTGACTGCAGTGCAGGTGAGTGGAGGGCTGGTGTATCATTTATTGTTCCAAGCTCAGCCTCCACAGGCACAGGGCCGCAGAGTCCTGGGAAAAGCCAGCCCGGGGGCAGTGACAGTTTTTCCCTTGCCAGGAGGAGGAGGCCAAGCAGCTGGTGCGGGACGCCATCGCCGCCGGCATCTACAACGACCTGGGCTCGGGCAGCAACATCGACATCTGCGTCATCAGCAAGAGCAAGCTGGACTTCCTGCGGCCCTACGACGTGGCCAACAGGAAGGGGGACAGGTGAGTGGGGCTGGAGCTCTCGTGGGGTCCCTGCTCTGCCTGGCAGGGCCCGTTTGCAGTAATGCCAGTTCTGTCAGTGTTCCCTGGCTGTAGAACTTTCAACTGCACAGTGCAAAGGAGCGGCTGTAGCAGCAGCTGAACAGAGGCAAATACATTGGTGGAATGATTCTAGAGTTGCAGAAATAAGTAAATTGCTCGTTCTTTGGTTTTTAGCACAAATGTCCCTCCCCACTTTGAGAGCCCACTGATTTCAATAACAACCCCTTCAGTTATGTGGCAGTGTTTTTGTCAGCAGTTTCCTGCAGTGCTGGTTTATCTGAAACTCTGTCAGTTATTGCAGTCAGTACAGATTTTGCAGTAAGCACAGCTTCTTTACTTTGGACTTTTACAGGAAATGTCTAAAGCTGATCAGTTCTAAAATTTTAAATGCAAGTTTTCCTCTGTACCATCTTCAAGACTAATTTTCCCCCATTTCTTTATAGGTTTGGTAGGTACAAGTGTGAAAAAGGAACAACTGCTGTTCTCACAGAGAATGTGGCACACCTGGAGCTCGAGGTGGTGGATGAGACCGTGCAAACCATGGACACATCCTGAGCCTGGTGGGGGCTCAGAGAGCAGCTGGTACAGAATAAAGAGGCTCTGCCCACTGTCTGTGTGTCTGTACCTGGTGCTGTTGCTGCTGCTTCTCCCTTCCTCCTTTAGAGCAGGTGAGGCTCGAGCAGCCCTGAAGGGCTCTGGGATTGACCCCAAGGGGAATGAGCAGGTGAGAGCTGTGCTCCCCTCCAGGCACCACCTGGCACTGGGGGCAGAAAAGGAGCTGCTTTATTACCTCACTCCAGGAACAGAAACAGCAGGAGTAAAACTGCTCTGCAGAAGTCTAATTTGATAAGTTTTAATAGAATGTAAGAAAACAGTGAGCATTGGTGGTTCTGAATTGCTGCCCTTGCCCCCTCCAACAGACACTGCTCTCCTACCTCACTGCAGGGTATCTCTCACTGGTCATCAGGGGCTGCTGCTGTTACTGCTTCCCTCTTTGCTGTATATGCAGGGCAGATCCAGCATCATTTCAAGTCTGATTGTCTTGTTATTCACCTCCACTTGGACCTTAATACTGGACTTTTTTGTTTTTTAAACAAAGGTGTTTATTTTGGAAATAATTTTTTTATTTATCTAAAAAGGCACAGTTGCAAAAAATTACCTTTTGAAATACATTTCTTTATAAGCACTACAAATTTTCATGTAGCAAGAAAGTGACCAGACTTCTCCAGATACTCGTATTTGAGCTGAGCTTCCCTGGAAGCCATGGCTCCAAGGAAAGCTGCAGTGGAACCAGAGAGGTTCAGGCTGAACTCTGGCAAGTGCTAAAAGAGCTGGTATAAATAACCAAGCTGGTTGGCATGGAAATGGTGGGAGCAATTTGGTGCCTCCACGACATTCTCCTGCTGATTTAAATTTCCCACATCTCCCGAGAGCAGCAGCCTCAACTTTCTGCTGAGAAGCCTCAGTAAGTGGCATCTTCCATTAATGATACCAACCATATTCACAGCAATTAATGGCTTTTCTTGGTACCCTATACAAATATTCCCAAATTTTACAGGAAGTAGTTGAAGATGGCACTGCAGTTTTCCTTTAAGTAAAGAAAGGTAGGTTAAAAAATCCACTAAAAGCATATATATGTATGTAACCCCCTAACCCTAATCTTAGTTCAAAAAAGTTAAAGATTGTAAGCTTTCTTTAAAAACACAAAACCAGGCACAGGCTGCATTTGAACTGTCTCACACAAATGTATAGATGGGCACTGGAGCAGCACAGGCTGGAGGGTTTCCTCTGGAGCACAGCCCTGCTGCTCCTGACAGGCACATGGAATGGAGACACTGGAACGTGAATCCACGGCTCTTCTAAGGCAGTGAGTATTTCCATTGGCAGTAAGGAAACAAATCATTGATTCAATGAATGAATTTAGCTGGTTGACAATTTTCATGCAGTTAAAGACGATGACTCCTTCAGATCACGTTGAGATTTTATAAACATTCACATTCTGTAATGAGCTTTCACAGTTTGAGAGAAGGGGCTGATCCTATGCAGAATTCCATACACAAAGCATTTCATTTATTTTTTTTAAATTTTCCAAGTGTTTAAAACACTGCTGAAGTTCCACCGATAGTACCCCATGTACTATTGAACATGTAAAAGTCTCTGCACCAAAACTGAGTTGGCTTTGACAAACACTGGTTTTAAACAGGAACCTGGAGGTGAAGAACCATTCCAAAAGGGAAAAATGAGGGAAAGGAGCAGGAGCAAGGCTGGTAGGGGTTTGCTTGGCATGTTTATCTTCTTTTCCCCAGGCTCATGTTTAACTCTGACAGAGAAATGCATCAGCAAAATACTCTTAAGTTTTCAATTAAAAAAAAAGAAATCATGAAACAAAAGGGTTTCCCACCCCCCCAACCCTTCCCATTTCCTAAGTCTGAAGAGGAGGAAATTAATAAAAACATAAATGGTTGCTTTAAAATATGCCAAGTAAAAACTGAATTTGCTATTAACCATTTGCAGAAGAGGCAAAGTAGCAGTTATACAAATTACACAAAATCTATGGTAATCCTTACATTAGTATAAAGTGATTTCACTGAAGGAATTATTTCAATATTTCACATTACAGTTAAGATAGAAGGTCTGGCAAACGCTGAGCCCTCGGTAGTAGCTGCTATCCTAGATTACACACGACAGTTTTAAGAAAGGACCCTTAAATGATCTACATCCGTAACATTATTTGCCTTAAAAATAAAAAATAAAAAGAATCACTTGCAATACCTCACAGAATCTTCACGTTAAAGCACAACCACCTGTAAGAGTCCTTGTCAAATAACCTGCAAACAATGGAGCCTCTGCTGCGAGTGCTCAACCTCCCACCTGTGTGACCTGGCACCAGTCGCGTTCAGCTGAGGAAAAGAATTCAAGTAAGACTGAGCTGTGCCGGCTCTGGCTCATGTGCTCGAGGTCCACACGTGCATTTGTTTGGCTATCTGGTGCACGTAGCTGATGTCGGGCCTCTGGTCTGGGTCGGGGTAGATGCACATGCTCACCAGCTCCCGCAGCTGCAAGAGAGCAGGACAGCACCGTGAGTGACTCCTCTGCAAGAGAGCAGGACAGCACAGTGAGTGACTCCTCTGCAAGAGAGCAGGACAGCACCGTGAGTGACTCCTCTGCAAGAGAGCAGGACAGCACCGTGAGTGACTCCTCTGCAAGAGAGCAGGACAGCACAGTGAGTGACTCCTCTGCAAGAGAGCAGGACAGGCACATGAGTGACTCCTCTGCAAGAGAGCAGGACAGCACAGTGAGTGACTCCTCTGCAAGAGAGCAGGACAGGCACATGAGTGACTCCTCTGCAAGAGAGCAGGACAGGCACATGAGTGACTCCTCTGCAAGAGAGCAGGACAGCACAGTGAGTGACTCCTCTGCAAGAGAGCAGGACAGGCACATGAGTGACTCCTCTGCAAGAGAGCAGGACAGCACAGTGAGTGACTCCTCTGCAAGAGAGCAGGACAGCACCGTGAGTGACTCCTCTGCAAGAGAGCAGGACAGCACCGTGAGTGACTCCTCTGCAAGAGAGCAGGACAGCACAGTGAGTGACTCCTCTGCAAGAGAGCAGGACAGGCACATGAGTGACTCCTCTGCAAGAGAGCAGGACAGCACCGTGAGTGACTCCTCTGCAAGAGAGCAGGACAGGCACATGAGTGACTCCTCTGCAAGAGAGCAGGACAGGCACATGAGTGAAGCCTCTGCATTCCTGGAAGGGCTGTGGGAACCAGGAGAGGGGAACCTCTGCTGCTGGGCAGAGTCCAGGCATGTGTCTGTCTCATGTCTGTGTGTCCCACCTCCAAAAAAGCCAGGAAGAATCTTTCCCACCAAATCTTCACTCAAGACTTAAATCTTCCTCAACCCCAGAATATTTTACATCCCAAAGGAGGACCCAGCCTGTGCACCCAGGACTGGGGAGAGCATGGGACAGAGGGAGGCACTGTGGCACAAGCAGAACACAAAGGAAGAAGGAAACCCGAGATCGCTTCCAAGATGTGACTGAGGTGGGAGGTGTGGAGGGACCTGCCAGTGAAAGGGAAGTGAGGAAAGGGGGAGCCTGAGCAGAGTTGTCAGGAACTGCAGTTGTGTTGCCCTTCCTCCACCATCCCCAGCACTAAACTCCAGCCTTCAGCATGAAGAGTCTGACCAGCACTTGTGGAGCCTAAGCTACTGGACACAGCTATGAGACCCTGGTGCTTCCTAAAAAACCTGTATGAGGAAGAGAAACTGGTCATTGATTATGTCTAATAAATAAAATGCAGAAGGGCTGGAGTCTCCCCACCTCCCAGCCCTCTTTATTGTGCACATGAAAGATTGTAGCTTTTAATTATACAGACACTGAAAGCTGCTGGTACCCCTGAGGCACCAGGAAAAACAGCCTTGAGCCTCTGATCTTCTCACATCCTCCCAGTAGCCACAGTGCCAATTATTTCACCGGTAATTAAAAGCGTGGCCATAGAGCCATCAAGCACTCGGCTTCAGCTGCATTAACGAACGTACCCAAGGATTCCAGCTCTGGATGGAGCCGGGCCAGCCCTTGCTCCCAGCCCAGACCTGCTGCCTGGCCCTGCCCCATTCTCTGGTGACTTTGACCAGCTCAGGGCAGGGACACTGCAGCCTTCACAACCCTGAGACCCCAAAGACTGAACACGAATCAGCCCTGACCACAAAACTCGCACCAACAGCTGAAAATGCTCCTAGAGCTCCGCCCAGGGCCTGTGCTATTTGTCCAAACAGGAGCTGTGCTCCCTGTGCCTGCAGCACTGAGACACAGCCCGGGCAGTTCTGTCCTCACAGGCATTCACCAGCCCCTACAGGAACCACAGGCTGAGCCTGGATCAGCATCTCCAGTTACCAGCCAATCTGTTCCCAATATAGCAAACCAGCCCTGGCTGGATCCCAGCTCCTCCTCCGGCTTCCAGCAGCATGCAGTTACTCACAGAAGGATGTGGACTGGTGAGGCACAAAAAGCCACAGAGGAGAGGAACATCCCTGAAAGGAAACTAAAGCTTAAAAAACACTGCCTTATTCCTCTTTCTTGTTCCAAGGAAGTACACGCTGGATGCTGTTGGTGCTGGAGCCCTGTTCTAATTCCCTGTTTGTGCTGTTCCAGTGAGCACCAGCAGCAGCTGAGGAGCTGCAGCCACAGGCACAGCCTCCCCAGCATCCTGTTAATAGTGCATGAAGCATCTGCAGTTCTCTGGGACCCGGCGCCTTTGAGCTCTAAACCATCCTTCTCACCCCGACTGTATCACTGCACTCCACACACTCTTTAGCACTGCCAGAGGGAAGCAAACAGACAGTAATTGTAAAGACAGGAAACACATCTGTCAACTTACACTAATTCCTGCTGCCAACAGGCATATCCTGAAATGCAAGCTGCAGCAGCACAGCAAAGGGATGCATGGAGCTGGGCGCTGCTACGGAGCTTGGGGCAAAAAAAAAGGTAAAATTCACTTCTACAGCCTCGTTCTTAAAGCACCGTTTTGCACGAGTTACTTGGCAAGGAAAAACAAAGCAAAAAGTGAAGTTGGTGCAGGTCCCTCCCAGGGCGGAGGCCAGGCCGTGCTCTCCCAGCTTCCTGCCTCCTCCTCAGGATGCTGAGGCAGAGTGAAACAAAAGAGAAACCCCATAGGATACAGTGAACATTCAGAATGCCATTAGCCATTTCCTTTCAAAGAGAAGGCACTGTAAGAAATGAGGAGGTTAAGGAAATCCAGCTGCTTTGTCTAGGTGAGGCAGAAAAAAGTCAAGCTCATCTCAAGAGGCCCTGAGGAAACCCAGCACACGTGTCTGCAGCTGGGCCAGCAGGAACTGGGACATTGGGTTTATGCACTGCTTCAGATGCTGCTGCCCGTCCCTCGTGTCCAGACACACAAACCTGCACAGCTGCTGTACAGGTCTTATTGCATTAAACTAAATGGCTTTTTTTCTTAAAATGAATCCTTCCCCACTTTGTCACACACTGAAGAATTCATAAACAAACATATCAATGCTCTTTTATGAAATGTTTCATGGAAAGGAAACAAGGAGAGGGCTTTCCTACAGCTCACTGCTGGTTTCTGCCAGCACCATAGACTTTCAGTTTCACAATATTCCTTACATTAAGAAATCTTTTTTGTCTTGATTTACCTTGTCAGTATTCAGACACCACAAAAGTAATTTGCTCAGCCTGAGGACCCACTGGCCATCCCCTGTTCTTCCCTAGATGTGGGGGGTTCTCCTCCCGGGTTCCCTTTCCCTGTGCCTGGAGAAGCTTCACTGCACCTCCCCACTCCCCTGCAACCACACTCCCAATTTACCTTTTCAGAATAATGTTCAGCTGGAAGAGGTGGGTAGTCACATTGCTCAATTTTTTGGCAAAGAGAAAACAGGTTCATTTTATCTCCATAGAAGGGACTTTGCAGAGCTGCCATCTGGAGAGAAAAAAACAGAAAATGTTTCAGAAACACAAAGGATTTGAGAGCCCTTGGTGCTGCCAGTTTGCAAGAGCCAATTCTGTTCTGTGCCAGTGAGCAGAGCAAGGGATGCTGCTGCTCCCCAGCCCAGGCTGCTCTGAGACCCCAACAGCTCTGCAGCCCTGTAGGGCTGGTGCCAGGCTCTGCCAGAGTTCCCAACAAAAATCCCCAAGAAAGGATGCTCAGACCACCAGCCCATCAGCAAGAACTCAGCTGGCTCTAAGACAACTCTGAAACCCTCTCAGATACAATCCTCTCTCTCTATCTTTGAACATTTAGCTGCTTAGAAGATGAAGAATCTTGAAAGCATGAGCATGTACTTAATCTTTTAAAAAACCCCTAAACAACCTCAAAACAAATGTATCTCCTGCCAGAAATCTGCTATTTAGAAAAGAGTATCCCAGGCAGATATGAGAACAAAACTACTGAAAATGTTCATCAATCTGCTCCTTTTCCTCTCAGCTTCATCCCAGGCCAGCTGAAGTTGATGCTTCTCACTGCACATTTAGGGGGTATTTGATGATTAATGGTCTGTTGCTCCTTACCTGTGCAGTGGAAGTGTCTGGAGAACTCTGGCTCTTTCTGACCCACAGAGAGCTCCCAGCAGGACTGGAGAGAGCCAAGACCAAATCCTCCAACCTCTCACCCCACAGTGAGGAACCAAGACTGATGCATTATGTTTCTTCGTCACTCCTCACCACTACTATCAGGAGTAACACTACGTTACTCCTCACAAACCCACAGACCTGAGGGTGAGGAGTCTCCTGACAGGATCCCAAAGAACCCCAGCACTGGGCAAGAGCGTCTGGAAGATTTTTGAAGGCAAAAGGTGTCACTGTTACGTCATTACTGTCATGACAGTAGTAGGCAACTCAGTAGGAGAAAAATTACACAGTCCAATTAGAGACTCTGCTCCCCAAGTAGGACTGATAGCAAACTGCTCTCAATCAGCTAAAACAAACTGGAGAACCCAGCACAGACTGTTCCAGGGAGAGCACTAATGGGGACATTAGGGAAAACAGAGAAAGCAAGCAAGAGTTAAACAGGGTCTCCAAGATCTCAATACACACATCAATAATGCCAGGGGGGTGGAAAGGGGTTTTCCAATTCCCATTAACTTTTCATTCCAGGTTTAGTTAAGTGCTCATGTGCAAAAGGAAAGGATTGAAAAGGACACACCGTGGGGTTTGGGATGGTAAATGCAGGGAATTAAAGTGGAAAGAGAGAGCACCCAGTTGTGACCACAGCAGCCAGGGCTGCAGGGCCATGACCACAGGCACTGTGAGTATCTCACTAACTACACTTTGTGATGCTGCACTGGGGCTTGCTCCTGACATTTTGATTAGAGCAATTACCCCGGGCCAGGCAGATCTCCATGGCAAACGCCCACCATGCAGCAGCACTGGTTCAAACATCCAGAGATGGGAATCCCTGTTAGTGCTTAAATTGATCATCTTGCCAGAACTGCTGAAGTCATTGCTTGTAGCTACATTCTGGGAATTAACAACTTATTTTTATCCCCTCCAAGTTATCTTGCTGACAGATATCTACAGGAAGTGAGGGATGAAGACAGTTACTACTATATTGATAAGATTTAATAAAAATCACTATTATTATCAATGTCAAAGTTAAGTGGTGCTATGTGGCATCATGTCCCAAAGCCCTCAATGTTCCCTAAGTGGATTCCAGTGGACACACATGTCTCTGAAGGCAATTTGTACATTAAATCTCTCTGCAGCTTATCTACACAATCTATCTGGAGAAATATCAGAAGTGACTCATACCCAAACAAGCATCCCTCCCTTACTTCTAAGCCAAATGGAAAAACATTCTCCTTACAAGACATAAAAGCAGATAAAATAATTCCTTCAAAGACACGCAGATCTGATGCTTCATTTTCAAAATTCTAGAAAGTTTAAGAAGTCAAGTAGTTGTTTAACAACTAAGCATAAAATTGGTAGCTGTCCAGTCCTCCCTGGAATCTGCAGTCTCTCACAGCTCCTGTTCCCTAAGTTAAGGTTTACCTACGTAGGAAGGAAATTTAAAACACTTCACATGCCAAATTTTTCAGATGTTACTGTAGTACTGCTACTCCTACCAGAGAATTATGTTTAGTGTGCAATTAATTCAGCTTCTTGAAATACAAGGAGTACCAAGACTCCTGTGCCATAAGGGGACCATATTGCCTGCAACAAAAACATATCTTAGCACAACGCTAAATATTTCTCTCTGCATAAATCTGGAATGCCATCCCCGGGAGCTGAGCCTGCAGTGACTCAGAGCACCCTGGCACTGCAGCCCAACTGGGCCCACTCTGGCTGCTCCCAGCAGCCCTGGGCAGGGCCACAGCCCAGCTCTGAGCCCTGCACATATGATGGGGAAATCTACTGTTATCATGTCCTACAACGTTTGTTAAATCAGCCAGCTGAAGTGCTCACAAAAGGAATTACATTTCTGTTTACTCTCTAATTTCATGGGATTACCAGAAGTTGTGTTGAGAAGCAAAATGTCATCAGTTCCCATAATTTGTTAACCAAAGAGGATGTGAGCAATATTCTTGACTATATATCCCAGGGATTTTTAATTCTCTGGGTGGGGATAAAAGCTTTCTAAATGCTGGCATGCACTGTCACTTGAATTGGAAGGAGCATCCATCTAAAAAAGATTTAGATTAGATTATAAAGAGGTACAACACTGATACCCTTTGATCCCTGCTAAAAATTAAATCATAAAACCAAAAGCACAGTTACTAAATCATAACACTTATTTTCAAAATACATGTAACAGCTTTTAAGAACAAGTTGCAGACTGGGCAGTTCATCCAAACGTGTCTGCTCTTACAGCCTCAAGCTGTAAGACAATGTACAATTAGAAAAAATACCAGCCATAATACAGTAGTTAGAGACACTGATTTCACATCACATAAAACCTCTGTTTTTCCTTACTGGAAGCTCCCAAGATTAAAATACCACAATTGGTCAGAAATCCATCTAAGAAACCAGTACCTTGCATTCAAATGAATTTGCTATTTTCAAAACAAAGGCAGTCAGGAAAAACTGTGACTGTGCTGCCCTAGCAGAGCTGTGCTCCCAGCAGGAAGGGGGATGCAGTGAGCTGGCTGTTCATGGCTCCATCCTCCACATCTCCTGTCAGCCCAATTCACTTTGGGTGGCACAGCCCTTCACTCTGCTCAGGAGGGGCACAATGGACACCAAATGCTTCTTCCAAGGATTCTCAACAAGTTGACTACAGGCAGTCTGACCTACTCAATCCCTGCCCCAGACTGCGTGGTTATGGAAAGCCCAGGAGAAAAGTGAAGATACTTGCCTCATACAGTAAACAGCCCAAAGACCAGATATCAGATTTAAAGTTATAGCCGTTCTCGTGTATTCGCTCTGGGGACATATAGTAGGGAGTTCCCACTGCAAAAACAAACAAAGCAGGGGTTAGTGCCTCACAAGTGGCTGTGCAACCCGTGTCACACACACAGAGACTGCGTTCTAGGGTCAGCTGTAGCACAAAGAGCTGACCAGAATCAAATATATCACCATAAACAGAGCAGAGAATGGTGAACGTGGTTGAAAATATTTCCTGTATTTCTGACATTTGGGAAACGTTTTGTTTCCCTTCCAGGCTCCCAAGAACCTTTAGAGTGTCTTGGATGGACAGAGCCACTGGAAGGGATCATGCCCTTGGACACCACTGGGTCTGGCAGGGCACAGTGTCACAGGGGGACCTCTGACAGTCACCAGGCACTGCAGGGACACTGAGCCCAGACCAGCCAGGAATGCAAAACCTGTCTGAAAAACACCAAGATAATAATTGCAAGCTTTAAAACCCTGCTCCAGCTTGCAGCTATGTCAGAAGCTAGGGGATTTCCATGTACTTCCACAAGTCTGTATTTTATCAAAAGAAATTTACTCAATATTTTGGACTGAAGTTACAGGAAATTATTAATAAATTCCTTACCTCAAAAAGGTTCTTTTTAAAATCCTAAATAAGTTTCAGTTGTGGTACTGGAAATACAAGACATCCTGGCAGTCTCAACTACATCAAATAATCCTCAGATACATCATTTATTAAAACATCCAAGGACTGTATATGCTCTTTTCTCCTGCTTCCCCCTTGCTTGTCCGTCCCCTGTCAATTTTTTTTTTCCTTTTGGCATCCCAGTGTATCCTTCTCCTAATTAAAGACCTTTTCTCACAAGATGGCAAATGCTTAATTTGCCTGTAATATTCAGTTTACAATTTCTCTGTTTGAAATGCTGCCTGAAGACAGCTGCAGGACTAATAAGCTGAAGGATGGTGCTAGAGGTGGAAGAAGAGCCACCACCTTCCCCAGCATTCCCATGGAGGGAAACAAATGAGTTCTGGGGCACAAAGAACAAGCTGGAGAGGCAAAACCAGGCCCTGGCACCTGCACATGTGACCCAGCACACAGAAGATAATTTATTTGGACCCTCAAGATGTTCAGCAATCAGCTGCCCTGTGTGATGAACTCAGCTCATGCTTCCAGGTCTTTCACTTTAGAAATTACTTCCCTTTCAATGTGAACAGTATCCTAACAAGAAGTTATATTTTTGCAAATTCTCTAAAAACCACAACACAGGGAGATGGCTTTGTTTCCATGCTCAGGAGGTGCAGGTCAGACTGGCACAGCCCCAGACCCGGCTGGGTTCAATTGCCTGAGAAAGGCCCCTGTGTGGGGAGCAGACCTGAGCCCTGGCAGTGGTTCAGGATTCTTACTGGGCTGCCCAGAGTAACTTCCTGGGACACCAGGAGCAGACAGGACTCCTTCTGAGGCTTTCCATGGCCCTGTCCACACCACGGACAGCACAGCTCTGCAAGTAATTCCCACACATCTGCCAGGTTTCTGTACAAGAACTGACTTGGCTGGGAGAGCACTGATTCATCTTCCTGCTTAAAAATATGCAGCTGCAGAAGAAATGGTGATTCATTCCAGGAAGTTGTGGAAGACACTTCTGGAAGTCCCCACTGAGCAGCAGCATAAGACACTTCCCAGCTGCAGCTCCTCCTCACTGCTGCTCTGCCAGCCGTGCCAGGAGCACGGGGTGGGCAGGAGGGGCACGGGGATGGCAGGAGGGGCACGGGGTGGGCAGGAGGGGCACGGGGATGGCAGGAGGGGCACGGGGTGGGCAGGAGGGGCACGGGGATGGCAGGAGGGGCACGGGGTGGGCAGGAGGGGCACGGCAGCAGCCCCGCTCGTGCCCAGGCTGGGCGGTGCCAGGGCCAGGGGCTGCTCTGGCACTCCATTATTCCAGGTCACTGCATGGGCACCAAGAGCAGCGTGTGGGCTCCAGAGCCAGGCCCCGCTGCCAGGGCAGCAGCTCTGCTGGGCCCGCTGTCGGCTCAGATCACGCCTGCCCGGCCGTGCCAGCGGTGACAGGGCCGTGACAGGGCCGTGACAGGGCCGTGACAGGGCTGTGGCACGGCTCAGTGCGTCACCAGCCCCGCTGTGGGGGCACAGGGCTGCTCCAGCCCATTAACAGCTCCGGGAGCGCTCCACGCCTGAGCTCATTTCGTGGAGCCCACCTTGCACATTTACCTATCATTACTGTAGCCTTGTCAGCAAATGTACAAACAAGCAGGGCTCTGCGTTTCCAAACTGATGCATTAATTTTTAAATAACTGTCATGATAAAAGACTGACAAGGCCAATTCTCTTTCTGGCCTGTCCAACATTACGTGGGAATCTCCTGTAATGAGCATCTTCTAGGAAGCCGCACAAGGCTTCCAGTGCAATCAGCCGGGGCTCGCCCTTGCATCCCATTAGTCAATTTGACAAGAGCAGTCTAATCGGAGACTATTAATCAGAAACTTTCTTCAGCGTTTGCCCTGCTGCAAATACAAAATATTGCTCAGGTTCAACATTACTCACCAGGAGGCAGAGTAATGCATTTGAAGTTATAAAGGTCGCAAAACCACAGGGAAGATTATGGTAATGGAAGGAGCTTCCTGCTCTGTTTCTGGAAGTTGGAGCCCCTTCATTGGAACATCAGCCACTTCAGAGATGCCAGAGCATTCCTGCTCTCCCAGCACTGCCCATGGGCAGCTACAACAGCCCTGGGATAGCTGCAACATCCAAGGTAAGGAAATGCTAATTATTCCCAGTTAAGATTAGGAGCAGAGTCTCTTCTTTCACAAGGAAAACACAAAGGCAAAGGTGGCAAAGTTATTCCAAAACTGAAATTAAAATTCCATTCCTCTCACATCTGCAAACATGGCTCAGCAATGAGCAATGCTTCCTCAGAAACTCATCCCTAGATGAAATCTACTTACTCTTCGAGAGAAACAACAAATATTTTGTGCATAATACTGCAGCCGTTGTTACAAGACCTGTTGTCCTAAGCTCTTTATTTTTTTCATTTCATTCATATAATTGAATCACACAACCCTATCAAACTCCTTTAGTTCTGTGGTTGGGTTGGGTTTTTTGGTTGGCTGGCTGAGTTTTTCACATGTAAATAGCACAATCTACCTGCAGCAATTCTGCAGATCTCTTTTCTTCCACAAATACCGAACTAGAGGCAAACCAAGAACTCCAAATACACTTGGCTGGTGACGTTTTCAGTGGATTTCTTGTGTCCATTTTTTTCTTACCAAGTCCTGATTACCAGCCCCTCCAAGCCCTGGGATTTTGTTTCAGATGGCAAACTGGCTTGGCAAGCAAAAGAAAGAAAAGAAGGCAGACAAATGGTCCATTTATTGAAGAGCTCTTCAGTTCCTCCCTGCTCACCCTGACATGCAAGCAGGAACCAGAAGGAATGTGTAACAGCCCATGTACTCCAATCCAGGGCTATTGGCATGTTCTAAACTGGGAAGATTTGACTTATGTGAATCTCCCAGAAGGAAAATCTGCTCCAAGTATATTCTTGTCCAAGAATAAATAATAAATCATCTGCTCCAAAACAAGACTATTCTGTGTAAAATTGGTTTCTTTTGGGGTTTGGTTGGATGTTTTTCTTATTGCTCTTGTTTCTTCAAAATGTAAAGCCAGTCAGAAGTTCTGGATAATGCCAAGTTTATTTGGCTAAAAATGGACATTATACCAGTTCTCAAAAAAGTTATCCATTGTATTATTAATGGAAATTCTCTGTATTTATTATAGCTCCTATGAAAACAAGCTCTATCAAGATTAATGTTAAGTTTGCCAAGTCCAAAATTAGGGAAGGAAGGTGAACCACCATGTTGTAACAAGTAGTAAAATTCACCTCAGCTACACCCAGTACCTTGCAAACATGAATTTGCTGGTAAGGCTTGTGCAGGAAGAGCTCTTCCCTATGGAGAAGCATCTCCTGTCTCTCCAGGGAGCAGCGGCAGTTGAGGCGTCGCCCTGTGAGCTCCCACAGCCCCAGCTGGTTCCTGCTGCCTGTCCCCGCACTGTGAGAGCCGGAGGTGCCCTGCTGCCCCTGTGGCAGGTGTGCCCACGGAGGTTTCCCAGGGGCCAGGGCTCTCCCTGCCCCGTGGCGTCCCTCTGCCCCGGCGCCGCTCCCGGCTCCCGCTGGCGCTCGGAGCTCGGCGCTCGCCGGCATCTCACGAGCTGTGTACAGGCAAATCTTTCATTTTTCTTTCATTACCTCGGCATGTACTGTCACTTAATTTTTATGTATGCAATCCTCCCTGACAAATATGATCTGCTGCCTGGTAATTCATCTGACGTTCATTCTGTTCCTTGCTCTAATTACGGCTCCGTTCCCGCCGCGGCGGCGGGCGCTGCCGAGCCCCTGCTACACCTGTCAGCCGGGTCGGGGCTGCCTGATGCCCTTTCATGCCAGTCTGCTGCTAGCAAATACAAGTAAAGGGAGAAATGAGATGAATATATTTGCATAAGCCGCACGTTCAATTCATGGGTCAGCAGCCAGAGAAACGACGGCTCGGGGCGGTTGCCAGGGCAACGCAGCAGCGGGAAGTGCCCGGCCCCGCTGGCGCCCGGTGCCCTGCCCTGGTCTGGGGTGTCCGTCCCCAACGGCTCCTTCAGCAAACGTCTTCATTAAACCAAGCCCAACACCAGTCCGTTTCCTGCTGCTACAAGCCTCTAGCTCTGGCAAATTATCCAAAAAATAGAGAGAAGCGTCACGTCTGCGTATTTTCTGATTGTTAAAATATTCTTTTTCACTTGGATCCAAGAACCGCTGGAAATGGTGATGCGTCCATCCCGCCCACAACACCTCCAGTCTCTCTCACTGCTCCCTCTGTCCTGCACCTCTCACCTGTTTGCAGGACACTGGTGATGGGAGGAAGGGCAGGGTTTGTGCACCAGGGGCTGAGCTCTTCCTACTCCAGCTTTCTCAATTAAGAGGGAGCAGCCCTGGTAAAGGTCACAAGCTTGGCTTACATGTGCAGCCAGTTTCCAAGCCCCAATTTATTCTTATTAATATAATAAGTGCAGCAGTCAAACTGGATAAGATCATATAATTAGACATGATCATATTTTGGCCTGTTCAGACGATGTGATTGTAACTTCCTGTGAAGAGGATTTATTTTCATCTATTAAGTATGGTGGGGATATATCCTAGGACAGCTTTTGATACAAAGGGTAATCTGAAATCTCCTATTTTACGAGAGTAAACTACAGAAATGCTTCGTATTTTTTAAGCACACACAAAACAAGGCAGGTATTTTCCTTCCTTGTGCACTGAGAAGCCCAGTGCTGCTGGCCAGGATTAGCAATGAAATTTGTTCACATCCAAGAAAGGATTCAGCAAGACACACTCAGCAGAGGAAATTGCACAAACAAAAATGTGAAACAAATATTGTGTGTTCCAAAGGCAACTGAGAGACATTAGCTTAAAAGAGCTTAAATATTACACCAAAAGCCAAAGTTCCTTCACTGCTGTAATACAGAAGCACCTTTGGGACTCAAAAAATTCAGATCCCTTAATAAAAATTGAAAATCAGCCACCTCTCAAGAGGTTACAGACACAATTATGAAATACTTTATACTGTAAGACTTAGAGAATGAACTGCATAACTATGCAATTTTCTATAGCACTAGAATTAATGTTAAAACTAAAAATGAGGAAGACAACCTTGAGATATGTGGAAGGTATGAAGAAAAGCTGGATGTTCAAAGCATAGGCCAGATTTCAAGTGAAGTCCCTTTTTGGGACAGATCAGCCATGAGGGCTCACCCACCTCAGGCAGTCCCAGCCCTATCAGGGCAGAGTCCTGACCAGCAAAGGTAAAAAGGTAAAAGGTGTTTGGGGGGAAACACTGAATTCCAGCAAGCACCGTGCAGCCAAAGTGCTCTTTAGAGTGCAAAAGCTGCATTTGCCATGTGTGCTGTAAAACACACACCAGGCCAGGCCTTCCAGAAAAAAATAACAGGTTTTTAAACAGAAGATACCTATGAATGCCTGCAAAGAGCATTTAAAATGCAGTCCCCACGGCCTGACTCCCACTCGTGTCACCCCGGGGGGATGGACACCCTGCATGTGAACATCAGGGCCCTGTTAACGAGTACAGCTTACCTAAGGAATGTGCTGCAGTGGTTTTAGAACTAAAAAACCGGCCTAATCCAAGATCTCCCAGCTTCACCACCCCTGTGGCTGTTATAAACACGTTGGCTGGTTTTATGTCTGCAAGAAGAAAAAGGTAAAAGGTCAAAGCCACAAAAGGTTATTTGGTTCTAATGCTGCAATAGAAGCATCGCCTGGAGCGCTCGCGGTACAAAGGGGCTCGAGCAGAACCTGCTTCTTTAGAGCTTTGATAGGCTCAGCCTTCCAAGGCTTCCAGCTCTGCACAGACACAAAAATCAGAGTGTACTTCCCAGCACACAAGAAATACCAATGAGGGAAAATGTAGGAAACAGCTCAAGAGAACAGAGGCAACCTCTTTAACTGCTGGAAATCAAAGACACGAGCCCAGTTCTCTTTGGGAATGATCACTTTGCACAGGAAACTGCACTGCCCACCACCATCCCCTCATGAAAAGGGTAATTACTGTTCCACATATACATAAATTCTGGGCTCTACACAGCCCAGCTGGTTCATGGAGGGTAGATATCACTACAACCCCAGTTTCCCAAGCAGTCATGTCAGAACTGAGTGAGAGGCTCTTTCCTCATGTTAGAGCAGACCCAATGTGAGAGGCTCCCCATTTCAGCCATTACAGCCCTAACTCAGGTACAAGTGATACACTGCACCAGGGGATGTGTAATGGAGCAAAAATGATATCACATTGCTGAAAAATACAGTGAAGAATTCCTCCTTCAAAGGAGAAGGAACTAACAAGCAGCCAAGATGGGTGCTGGTACCTTTTGGGAAATTTGCACTTCCTGAGTCCAATCCTTCCCAAAGCACCTCACTGACACTGAAAGCAATAGTGTAATTTTTGGATAGAGCTCAAAGTTATAAGATGTTCTGAGACAAGAGACTCAAAAATAATTAATGAAAATAGAGAACAGGTTATGAGAGTGTGGGACATATTTGTATTAATATTTTAGAAAAGCCCGCTAGACAGGAAAACTCTTCTCAACCCTCTAAGGTCACACCTAATATAATGAAGACTATTTCTTAGAGTTCACTGTATCCAGGAGTCTCAGCATTTTATTTCTGACACTTTTCTAATGGCAAGTTTGACACTTCTACTTAATATCAGTGTCTGGAATACAAAGCAGCTCATCTTCCTAATACCACCCTCACTTCGGCCTGAATGCTTTAACGATGAGGCAGAGACAGAAGGAGAAATCCATCTCGCAGGCTCCAGCCTCTCTAAACATGCATTGGCTGAACATCAGCATAATTGTTTTTGAATGTAGGCGCTTACTAATTGGAACATTATATTATTATTCAGTGAAAAGAGACTGAATTAATGTTACCTCTGTGCATCACCCTGCGGGAGTGCATGTGTTCCACTGCACTGCATAACTGCACAAAATATTTCCACACCGTCCTTTCCGGGATTAACCGTTTCTGCTTTTTAAAATACTGTGGGAGGAAATAAATAAAAGATCAGTGAAAAGGCAACATATTTGACTCGTTCCTGGAATTGTGTTAGTCAGCTGCAGGTTGCTCACGTCTTCCAGATCTGCAGCTGCATGACTTTTCTTCTGATTAGCTTTTAACTCCTCCTCTCTGTGTGGAAACTTCGATGCAGTTCGCTAATTAACAACTATTATGAAAAATATGCTTAAATAGGTTTGACATTTTTGAATGGACACAATTATGATTAGCATTAATCTCCTTAATTACCTTGCAAAACATATTTAATGCCTCAAAACAACAAATGTCTCAAATATTTTGCCTTAAGAAACAAAAGGCCATTAAACACCCCCCTTGTAAACATTCGTTATTGCATCGTCTACTAACAAGAATAAGGAAATCTGCTTTCCTTTTTTAAATGATGGCCAGGGCATCAATAAAGCATCCATGTTCTTTCTGTGATCAGGTAGAATAATATATTCCATTTCATGCATAACAGGAACACTAAATGCCCTGCACTCTGCAGTGACAGAGGCTCTCCTGATCAGCTGGGTGTGCTCAGGCAGCGCCGAGCGCAGCCGGGCCCCGTTCCAGGGACCTCTGGTGCCTCAAAGCTCTCAGAATAACGGGCAGCACAAAGCAGCACCACCGAGGGCAGCGTGGCCCTGGCTCCCTGCAATGCTGGAGTCTTCTTCAAGCCACTACAGGAATAAAGAGCCAGCTGCACACTTCAGGGAAGGCCAAACATTGCAGACCTTCAGCTGCTCTCCCTCCTTTGCAGGGGGGCAGCCCAGCCGTGTCTGGCACCGCACCCAGGCATCCCAACACTGCAGGGTTCAGATCGTAGGTCCCTGGCTTCTCACTGAGCCAGCCCTACAGCCAGAGCATTAACAGAATACCCTTCAACACTTGCAGAGGTTTCCCATTGCTCCTCGAGCCCTGCCACACCGGGTGGCACCGGGAGCACCACGCACCCTCCTGCCCCAGCACGGCTGCGCTTCCTCTGCACGGCACCCGGGAGGATCCCCCCCTGCAGCAGGAATAAAGGAAGGCAATGGCTTGCTGCCCCTTTCTGCATCTCATGCTTTCCCCCTCAGCAATCTGACGTCCGTTGTCACATTCCCTATTTTATGTGAAATGCTGTTACCAGTTCGTGTTTGACTCAAGCAATGGCAAATTTTCTTTTGCAGATCAGCTGTGAAGGGGCACGACTGTGCAATTCCCCAGGCAGCAAATCTGACAGATTGCAACAGTCTCAACCCAAAACTGGAGAGAGAGCACAGAGGAATTACAGAGGGTGAGGGAGAAAGTGTTATATACACAATAAAATTATTTCATTCTCATTAAAATATTTAAGAGTGGATATGCAAGACCACAAGTGATAATTTTCTAAATGTCATGTCCAATAAGGTTCGCCTGACATTTACAAGGAAGTCCCAACTCTCCAGTGGGTTTTCCTGCAGCTCTACATCCCTCATAAATAATGCAGGCACCGGGGCATGACAGAGACAGGCCCTGGGTTTATCACCCTCACACCTTGCCAGGGCTGTCACTGCTGCTCCACCAAAAACCCACACAGGAGCTTCAGCTCCCAGGGAGGGAGAGGGTGACACGGAGGAGCTGGTGGGGAAACTCCCCTGCTGCAGTGCAGCTGCATTTAGGAGGCAGCTTTTGTTCCCTCTTGCCTTGGTTTTGGGGTTTTTATCTCTGTTAGAAATTGTAAAAATTTAATTCCTAGATTTGTACCAGTTGAAAAACTTCATTTATATGACCTTGAAAAAAGAAATGCATCTTCTTCATGTCTGAAATACAGAGGGAACACAAAGCTGTGGAAGCTGGAAGCCAGCACAATCCAGAACTGGGCAAGGCACCAACCCGAGACTCTACCAGTTATGTTTTGGAAAATGTAACTCTTATTATAATGACACAGAAAGTTATTTTTAAAATTTAAATAGCCAACCCTGATAAGCAAATGAACGTACTTGTCAGTATTTTTGAACTAAAAACTACAGATGACTAAAAAATACAAATATTTCATATAATGAGATCTTACAATTCTGTAGGTAAAACTTTTGTAAGCCAAGATTGCAAAGTCAAGCAGAACCTTTGCACAGCCCAGGGAGGCCTCACACAGCCCTGACTTCTGCTCCCACAATCCCTGGGCTTTTTCCATCTTTGACCACAAGCACAAAGGGCCTGAGATGAGCTGCAAGTCTCCCAGGAAATGGTGGGGAAAGGGCAGAAGGCAGCAGGAGCCCCAAGGGAAGAGGGAGGCCAAAGGCAGAGCTGCTGTGCCCCCCCAGCTCCCCTTCCCCCTCGGGGAGGCTGCACTGCAGCTCCAGGGCTGTCCCAGGGTGACTCTGCCACCTGCTGCTCCCAGCACTCGCCCAGGGGCTCTCCTCTCACACCCAGCAGATTTTCCTGGATCTTGGAAATTTAGCCACTGACTATGGACTGAAAGGGGAACTTGTTTGACAGCCTTTGGCCTAGTGCCTCATGGCTCTGCTGGCAAAGAAAACAAATCTGTTAATAAGATATTTTAACTGTGACAACAAGGAGGAGGAGAACTTTCCAAACATTCATTTATGATAATTACAGAATAATGATGGCAAAAACCAGGTAAAACATGGAGAGAAGGTTGAGAGTGCTAACAAACATGATATAACACATCTGTTCTCACAAGGGATGTATGTCTAAAGATTAACATGTCAAAGAAAATATAAAAGCAGGTGGTAACAGCTTAACTAAAGCTGGTTTGCAGCAATACAAGTATTCCTAAGAGCAACATAAAAGAAGAACAAGTACTTGAAACATTTTCTCAAACCCAAATCCCCATTGCAAAGGAAGTCAATAGACTTCCTTGAATGTCTTCAGAGTGGCAGACAGGCGATGTGAATAGTGAACCCACCAGTAATTAAATGTCCCCATCAATCATGGGCTGGGTAAATCAACCTTGCAAATAACACATGTGTCCCACCAGATCACAGACACTTCCCTCTGCAGCAGTGACCAGAAACTCAGGGCATGGCTGGGGTATTTAAAATGCCACCAGCCACTTGGGTTCAGGTCTGGAAGCAACCCATGGGTGTGCAAAACCGCAAGGGGAGAAAAAAAGTGTTTCTAACCCAGCTGTGCTCACCCACTGCCTCAGGCCTGCCTAATCCTGCAAGGACAGACACATCCTTACCTTAATCATCTGAGAGAGATCCCCAGCATCAGCCAGCTCCAGGACAATGTTGAGTTCATTGTCTTCAATGAAAGAATCCAAATACTTAATTATGTTGGGGTGGTTCAGTTGCTGCAGAGGGAGGGAATGCAAGAGGAGCAGTTACAGGGTGGTCAGGACGACTCCAGGCACAGCACCGGCGCCTCCTGTGAGCCACAAGGGCACCCACAGCCTGGGCCAAATGCTCCAGACAAAGCCCTGGGACAAACAGCATCTCCCACAGGCACAGCACCCTGGAGGTGTCCTTGGCAAAGAGCAATTCCACCCAAACGGAGTGAAACAACCTCTTCTATTGCTAACTTGTAAAACATTTGAAAGCCATGTCCTGAAGGATGCCTTCTTAAGCAATAACCAATTTTTCCCCCCCATTAAATGGGAACAAACCCCCAGATGTTGGTTACAGTACTCAAGGTCTTTTACCCCTTAAAAGAACAGCTCAAACTAAAACTTTGAAGGAGGACAAAACCACACAAATTGTACATGTCAGTATCTGATTATTTATGCTGGCTTTTTCACTAATTCCTTTCTTTCATTTCAGTATAGCTCATTCTTACATTCACAACTGATGCTTGAATTTATTTTTTTCCTGGAACCCAAAAATATCACAGATCCTCTTTCTGAACGTAGACCTCAGCATTATTTTCCTTCTTAATACTGAGCAACTGGCTCATGTTTATCCTTCCCTACAGCCTACAGACTCAGGCTGCAACTGCATGAATTTGAACAGAAATCCCCAAAATCACAGGCACAGAAGTAATTATTTAATACTTTTAGAATGAAATTTGACTAGCTAAACTAAATTTTTAGCCCTTTGCAGTCTGTTACATTTACTAAAAATAGGTATTTAAAGTTCAACACATCCATGTTTTTAACCAACAATTTAAAATAAGCTACTAAGGCATCAAAATCACTACTTGTTTTAATCACTTAAACTCACTCTGGTTTCAGAGCCTTTATCTAAATTATCATTTTTCATATGTGATATTTATACACACACATACATGACATGCACAGCCAAAACTGCTTTCTCCTTTACTGTGTAAGCTTTATTTGCCAACCTGAAAACAATTTTTTCCACAAAACAAAACAAACAAAAACCAAAACCCTAAGAAAAGAAAAATTAAAAAAAAAAGAAAAAAGTTATTATAAAAATTCTTACCTTCAAGAGGTCAATTTCTTTAATGCAATCTTGCCTTGCCTTGGCATCCATCATTTCAAAAATCTTCAAACACAAAAGCATAGAAGATAAAAATGAAACAACAAAAAAAAAGTACTTTATACTTTAACAAGCAGTTGGTGTTTCCTTCCCCAGTTTGTACATCCTCTGCTGTAATGAGTATTCACACAATCCCCAGATCAAAGAAAGATCAATGTTTTCTTTATTTTGAAACCACCACAGGGATAACATTGGGGTAAAACTGATTTTAAAACCCATAGGCAATATTCTAACCAGCACAAAAAAGAAAGATACAAGTTTGTGAATTTGCTGCTGTGACTTTCATTGGTTTAATTATTATCAATTCCATATAGTAAATAAAAGACAAAATGTTTACTTTTCTCTTTTAAACAGATACAGCTTCCACTGATTTCTCTGTAATAATTAACAATAACTTTGAGCATTAATATTCATTCTGCAATGATCACTAAATCACTGGAAATGGGAGTTTGGAGGATTTGTTGAAGGATTAAAGGCAAACTTCTTCAAGCAAAATGCTGTTCTGAATACTGTCCAATACTTTCAGCCAAGTTTAAAAAAATCTACACTTCTGACATCCAAGTTCTCAGAAATTCTTCTCCAAGTCCACCAGCAAGCCCCAGCCATTTTCCCTTCCATGTTCCTGTGGTTCAGCTGTGTTGGGATGGCAGCTCCTCACGGCACCAGCACAGCCACAGGCCCTCGCTGGCTCACACATTTAACAACTATTTGGTGAGCCCTCTTCCCAAAGTAAAAGGTGAAATTTGAAATAAATGAAATGGCAGCAGTGCTGTGCAATCCTGACATGGACACAGGAACCCCCCGAGGGGTGATGAGGGACCAGACCCTGCAGGGCAGAGCTGGCAGCCCTGGGTGGTTCCCATCCCACCCCAAAGCAGGGGCTGCAGGAAATGCTCACCTGCACCTTCTTCAGAGCCACAGGTTTCCTGTCCAGCAGACAAGTAGCTCTGTAAACTTCGCTGAACTGGCCTCGGCCGATCTTTTTCTCAATCTGAAAATCTGCCAAGGTGCAGCGATACGGGTACGACGTTAAATGTCTCTGTCAAAGGAAAGGCAGTCAGGGACCCCAGAGAGCCACTCGGCCCCTCCTGCTCCCGGGCAAGGGCTCAGCCTTGGCCCTGGGAGTGGGGAACATCCCACCCCTAACACACCAACTCCTGGCACACGTAGCAGCAACACGGGCTGGAGGAAGCCAAAGGACTCCTGTACAAAGGGAATTAAAGTCTTGCCTTCCGTGTAAGTAACTAATTAATCCCCAACTGCTCCGGCTCGTTCCACAGCCTCTCATCAGCTCTGCCTGCCCGTGCCAGCGGGGAGATGCAGCCCAGCAGTCCCAGGTAAACAGGCAGGCAGGCAGGGAGGCCCAGCCTGACGAGGAGCAGGGACCCCACGGACCCCAGGGCTCCCGGGAGCCCCGCTCGGCTCCTCTGGCACAGCACGGCTGCCAAACAGTCCTTAAAATAGAAATTATCGAAATTAATTACTCCAAGTTAGCACACGTGCCAAGTAGAACACTTTGACTTTCAGCATCTTGAGCCATTTCAGAGTTTGCACCAAAAGCCCCAAAAAGAGAAGTTCCCCGCACAGGGGGTGGGGAAGGGCTGCCCAGGGATGAGGCAGGCTGCAGCCCAGCCACACCCAGCACAGGTGTCCCGGCAGGGCTGCAGGCTTAGGGAATGACCATTGCTAGCACTGCCATTTCCTAATGCAGCAGGACAGGGCTGGAACTGACATCTGAAATGCAGCAAAAGCCCTCAGCCCAGCGTTAGGACCTGCAGCTATTTCTGAAGGCAAATCCCACAGAAAGAGGAAGGTCATTTCTCCACGTGCTCCCTTCAAGCAGTTCAGGCCATGGTTCCCTTTAGGAACCTTCCAGTCTCCCCTGCACTCTGGAACAAGTCACCAGCTATTAACTGCAGTCAAAGCAAAAGCTTTTCTAACTTGCAGTCACCATTCACAATAGAAGCAGCACTTCTAACAGCATTTTATGAGGCAACTACTACAAAACTTTATTTTTCAGAAAGAAATCCATACCAAAATCAAGGACAGTTTTCACTCACCTTTCCTAAATCATTAAAGTGTGTGTTTACACCAATAGTGCTTACATGTAAATTAATATTTCAAGCACGTGCCCAGAAATATCTACCAACTCCTGAACTTGAAAGCATAAACAAACGTTAGGCAAGTGTGAGGGGAATGTGCCCCAGCCCCTTGGCCACGGAGAGCCCCAGAGCCTGCTGGTGCTGGGGGTGATGCTGCCCATGCCTGGACACCTCTGCTGATGTGTTCCGGCACCTCCAGGACTGCAGCTGCACATTTACATATGCAATGACCTAGATTTGCATGGGCTATCACAACCTATCAGACCTAATTAAAGTAACGGAGCTTTCAGAGAGGGCAGGAGATGTTCGATTGTGGAACAAACCAGGAATCATCCTCAGGTGAGCCCAAAGAGCACCAGAAAGCTCCCTCTGATCTCAGGCCACGTTCCCTTCTCGCTGTAGCTGAAGGCTGGCAGGATGATGCTGAGCAGCCCAGCAAGGACACCCAGAGCGCCGGGACCCAGCTGCCTCCCCTGGCACACACTGCATTGAGCCAGGACTCCTCACATGGGGCTCTCCACTGCTCTCTGGTCCCTCCACAACTCACCACCATCATTTCTCAGAAAGCTGGCAAAGAACCAATCCCTATTCATTCAAACCCGTGATCTTTATTTCTGCAAACCTCAGAGTTTTCATGTACAGATATCAATTGTGTGTAGTAAGACACCACCGTCATCTTCTAACTTGTCCATTAAAAATACATTTTCTCATTCTTAGGACAGATTTAGGCTCAGGTTTCCATAACTGCAGTCAAAGCAAGCCCCTGCCTCTACAGATCAGGTGTCAAGGTCAACAATGGAGCTTGAATTAAAAAAAAAAAACCCAAAAACAAACCTAAATGAGCCAAGAAAAGGGGAGAAAAAAACCAACCAAGCAAAAGGAACCCCAACCCTGGACAGTACAAAAACTGGGCTGTTTGCACAGTTCTGTTCCCAGGGCAGCTGTAGGAAGGGCACAGTCTGGGAAGAACTTGTTTTCAGACAAAGGCTGTTCTCTTCATGCACACAAGGAAGTCTCATTCTTCTCCTACTCCATGAAAACAAAGTGCCAAAGAATTCCTCATGCAAATAAAAAACTCATTCATTTTGAAGAAGAAATGCAGAGATCATTCCAAGAACAAGCTCTTCTGGACATCTCCTCTGGCACACATGTGCTCTGTGAGATGGAACCAGTGGTGCCAGAGCAGAAATTCCAAAGCTGGCAAAAGCAGGCAAGGGCAGCCCTTGTCAGAACGTCACGAGGAATCCTGCCAGGGCTTTCAGCCTCCAACTTTCAGGTGTTACAAGATTGTCTGCAGAACAGAATTTGTAAGGTTTCTAAGGACAGGCAGGTAGGATGCCTATACACCCTGAACACATTTGTTGTGTTTTATTTTTCTTCAGGAGTAGTTGTCCAGAATTTGTGTTTTGGGATGGGGAATAAGAAAACACTCTTCTGTAGAAAGACTTTCAATCTCCAGAACAATTACTGCTTGGCCAATACATTTACCTCTTTGTAATGACTTAAGATCCAGGGAAAACCTGACCAGCCCCAAGAGAGCTGTGGGAGCAGCTGTGCCTGCAGCCTCTGAGCCCTTGTTTTGGGCCAAGGAGCACCCTGAGAGTGAAAGCAAAATATCCCAAATGCAGCCCCACTGCAGAGCCAGGCCTGTCCCCTGCTCCCCCAGAGGCACAGGGAACCCAAGGGCTGAGAAAGGGCTGCTCACTGCTAATTGGCACAATACAGAAACCCAGAGTGCTAATGTTAATTAATAATCAAGTCAGTTGTTTTACTCCTGATTGGCATGAGGAAAACAGGCACCAGTCAGCCCTGCACAAAGGGCTGCAGGCATTTAGAGTATTTGTAATCAACCTAAAAACTGTTAGGATTAGTTAACCAACAGTTAAAAAGTCAGACAGTCCAATCTTCAGATGCCAATAAAAGCATCTTTCCTGTAGAGTCATGAAATGAAATATTCTTTAGAAGAGTAAAAACATACTCGCCCAATTAATTTTCTGAAATCTCATTAAAAAATTTAGCCCGACTAAGTCATACACTTCTGACCTGAATTTTAATTATCTTTACGCTGGATATAAGGTTTTTTCTGATATTTGCAATGCATCATTAATTTTAAAGGAACGGTTTCCTTGCTTCTAAAGTGCATACTTCATCTGAGTGACATTTACTGTAACTAATTTCACCTTTAAAAGACATCTGCAGTGCTACTGGGGGAGCTCCAGCCCCTCCTGCAGAACATGCACACACCATAAGCAATGATTTACTATCAACATCAGTATTTCAAACCCTTTTAGGATGTCCAAAATTATACACCTGCCTCCATTCAATAATGCCTACCTGAAAAGAATTTTGCATACTTTGAGGCTGAAATTCCAGCGTGAATTTATGAGAACACATTAGAACAGATTGATTAAAGAAGGAACTTCTAAGCTTGCAAGAGATGAGGAAACTTTTAAAATATGGATTATCCTTCAAACAGGTAGCCAAGTAATTATTGAAGAATACATCAGGTTTTTCAATTTGAGCTTCAAAATTAGACTACACAGTCATAAAATATCCTTCACCTGACCTGTTACCTGGAATTTAAAGTTTGCTGAAGAACTTGGCTTAAGTTTCAAAGTTTCAGCATCCCTGTCAGCATGATTGGGATCTATCCTGATATCCAGATATTCTGGGCCTATCTAGACATTTGTACTACTACACCACAAGGGAAGAGAAAAATACCAGCTTGGAAACAGTAGGACAAGGTGACATTCACAAAGAAATTAAAATTACCATAGAAATAATCTCTTAACAGCTCTGCTGCTAAAACGTGAGTATATAAAAGAGCTATTTAAAAGTGAGTTACTGTGTTTATTTAGTATGAAAACTAAGTGAAAAATTACAACTCTATATTTTTATATCACTGATTTACTCCTAAATAATTTTTATTGCTTACTGCTACTTAGTGTTTACACACTAAGTAATCTGGAGACTTAAATAATTAACACCTTCATTCTGGAACATTACCAGAAAATGTTCTCCCTCTTGCTAATGAACTTCCTTGGGGTATTTCTGGGCAGGTATGAGAGCCAAAAGCCAAAACTGTCATTTTATTGGACATTTTAAAAAAATGTTTGTATTACAGATAACTTCTAAGTATCCAGCATTACTCAAAGGTTTCATCTTATTAGCTAAACTACAGCAGTTAAAGACAGAAAAGCCTGACTCATATTCTGTACTGATGAGCTACAAAGCAGAAACAACACCTCTGTCAGAACTGACAAAAAAAGCAGCTTTAGGAAGCAGCATAATTATAGGAGAAGCTTCTGGGAGAGGAGTTGCTGCTCTGGACTTTTAGGGGCTGGCACAGTAGTTTGTAATGAAGGGGCTGCAAGGAAGAGAGTGCTGTTCCATACAAAGCTCCCTCCTCACCCAAGGCTCTAAGAACTCATGTTCTGGTTTTTTCTGCTTAAGTTTTTATCTCTGCCATTAATGACATTTCTCATAAGACCAGTTTGGTTAATTTTATCTTCCCAAACCTCCCCCCCCACAAACCATTACACAGCATGTCTGCATTACTCAGATTTTTCAGAAGAAAGAAAGGATCTAAGTTCAGATTCTCCAGGTAAAAAGTATCAGAGATTTGAAAAAGTGTATATAAATATATTCCTGAAAAATGGAAAAACAGAAATATGTCATCAGCAACCCTATCATGCCACCAATGGAAGGCTTCTAAACACCGCCTTTTCTATATGCATTTTTCCAGTTCCTTGGTAGACTGTATATTTTTGTTATTCAGGTCTTTTTATGTTACTTTGACAGCAAAACCAAAGACAGTCTTCCTGCAATTCTAATTCCAAATTAGACCATTCTCAGAACAGTTTACTAGAGCCCTCCATTAACAGGACTTGGGTATTACCAGAGTTGAGGGGAGGTTTCACTGAACAATGACCATACAGCAAAATGAGCCCACTCAGCATCAGCATCACAGCAGAACACAGATTATTAGCTACTAATTACACTTAACTATGTCATTACAAATTCTAACATGTGCTCCAAGATGCCATGAATGTATCTGCTGCACAGGAACACTTCCTAATCTTGTTCATGAAATAATTACAGGGGCACTATCCTGCCAAATGAGGCAGTAATTAACCCTAATTGCTCAAAATGCAACTGGCTAATTCTAGGAGATTAATCAAGGGGATTCAATTATTATTAAATGACTTAATATGACAAATTGCTACATTAGGAGAGGGGGCTTTGCTCCACACCATGGTACTTTCCCAGCAGTGCATTCAGTGTGTGCACAGAACTCCCCCTCAGCAGAGGCTGTGCTGGGCACTGGCAGAGCTTTCCCAAGGAAAGTGGGATTGATCTCCAGCTTGGGGACCGTGCTCACCTCTGCTTGGGGACCCTGCTCAGCCCTGCCCTGCTCGGGGACCCTGCTCACCCCTGCCCTGCTCGGGGACCCTGCTCACCCCTGCCCTGCTCTGCTTGGGGACCCTGCTCAGCCCTGCTCTGCTCGGGGACCCTGCTCAGCCCTACTCTGCAGTGGGAACAACAAAAGCTCAGCAGCCCTCCTCATGGTCACATCCCACCACTGCTGCAATTCTCTTCTTTCTGACAGCTTTCCATGCTGCTTTTGGTTCATTCCTTAATACAACACAGGGGCAAAACTGAATTGCTCTGATCAACAGAAAACAGGCTGAAAAGTCAAGCAGCCCGAATTCACAAAATCCAAGTTTCATGATTACACAGACTGTGGGTTAATCCTGGTTTTAGCTCCCTTCTGCAGAAAGGCAGGAAGAGAGAGGAGCTGCTACAGTGAAACTTCATTATAGTGTGGACAAAACACATTGCAGGATGAGTTCCAGAGACTCGCAGGGAGCCTACAGTTCCATGGAGAATGAGCTTTTTCTTTTATCTGGTAATTACTTCTCCGGCACTTACTATAAAAAGAGATAAAATACATTTATTCACTTACACAATAATCTATTTTACTTTGGCCTTTTCTTCAAAGAGTCAAAGACATGAGAAAGCCAACTCAGTATGTTTTCATAAGATGATTTAAAAACACTAGCTTTAAGTAAAATTCAAACTATTTCCTCTTTCTCTTATTATAATCAAAAAGTGGGTTCAGGAAACTGTCTGGTAGAATCCCAAACTGGATATTCCCTAAAACTGCTACAACTGCACTAAAAACAAAAGGAGGGGGACAAAAGCAGCTAAATGCTAAGAAATCAGGAGACCTTTACGGAACGAAGATAAGAAAAGACAGAGGGAGATGGATCAGAGACACCCGCGCTTACCTGAGGATCATGCTGGAATTCCTGCCCTGGCAGCTTGCACAGAGGGTTGTTCTGGTCCCCTAGATGATGAGGATGGTTGTGCTGCCCTTCCATGGTATCATACCAAACTCTGCCTCTCGGCTCTGCTGAGGCAAAAGAAAGGGGAGAGGTTTCAGGCCAGCCCAACACAGCAATGGGAAATGAGAGTCTGATCCCCTTCAAAAATGGTACCAGAACCTGCAGAAGCTGTAAAGAGCTGCCCAAGAGGCAGCTGAGGCATTCCAGTGCTGGAGCCACACTGTGATCCCAGATTAACTGATCCTCAGGCACAGGGCTGTGCACACACCTCAGGAACACCGTGGGCAACAGTGATGGGGCAGCTGTGGGACACCTCCCCTGCCTGCAGAGAAAGAATGAACGTACCCAGGTTTTCCAGCCCTTCTGGGAAATAAAACCCCTACTTGAACCATTTGTGTTCAAGCCTGACTCGAGGACAAACTCTGCTAATTCTGTCAGCTGCTCAGGGAAGCAGGACTGGATCACAGCACTCCCTGCTCCACACCAGCTCTGGGGTCAGGCTCTGGCCCCAAAACACAGTCACAGCATTCAGAGAACACGCACAATAAATACACCCAGAAAGGGCCATTCACAGGTTTGGCCATCCCTTACCCACACCCTGCCATTCCCAGTTGCATCTTTCCTGTCCTTGGCACTGACTGAAGACTAATGGAGACAAGGGAAGATTTAGTGGCCAACACAAGCATTTGCAGAAACTTATTTCAAGAGTTTTGGCAAGTATTCACTCAGTGAAAACACAACCTGACCTCATTAGTGTATTAATAGTGCGTGCCTGGCACTTGGTCAATGACTAAGTCTTAGTTTAAAATACAAAGGTATTTTAAATATTTGTGGGAGTGGGGGAGAAAATATGATGAAGAAGAATTCCTGCAGCAAGTAGTGCTCAACTCTTTTAACAGTTGTCTGTGAAATAAACCCTTAGCTCTGGCAGATCTTTCCCAACACCAGCTACCATAGCACAGGGGGAAAGCAGAGAGAGGCTCTTCTCATGTCTCAAGCAAATGAACCCTCACTCTGACAAAAGAGCTGCAGCTCCTGCTACATTACACAGGTGAACACATGGATTGCTCTCAATAAAAACAGTTTTTCAAAGTCAGTACCATGAACTGCAGTGGGGGAAGGAGAATCACTGCTAGTATGAAGAAATTTGATTTTAAGATCTTTTCAGTCTCAAGCATCTGTAGGTTTATTAGTAACCAGGTGAAGATACCTAGATAAAACTGTCTCAATACTGACACTAAAGTGCCCTATGAAATTCCTACCTTATGCTATACTGCTGGAACTATCTTAATTATTTTATTATTCAAGATCTGGAGAAAGGCAGTTTACTTGAAGGGAGAGCCACATGTTCTCGCTCTTCCAAGCCCACACACACAGAGCAAAGCCTGGTTCCAACACAGGAACCTGGACAGGGCACATTCCCAGCACAGACACATCCAGGCAGTGCCACTGAAGTGTCTGCAGCCTGACACTGATCAAACTGGGCATCCACTGTGTCCTGCCTTCTGAAGGACTAACACTCAAAAACAGGGGAGGGATTTACTGATTTATCTCTGGACATGGGAACCTGAACATCCTGACCACAGCCCAGTCTGGGCAGTGCCCGGGGACCCTAAGGAAACTCGAGGAGCAATCTTTGCTGTGAGGGAGCACCAGGGCAGGGACTCAGAGCCCAGGAGAGCCCACGAGCAGGGATGGGCCAGGGCAGGAGCTGCACTCGGGCACTGCTCGTTTGAAGCGCTGCAGCTGGAAGCAGAGGAAGGAGTAAGAACAAAATAGCAGCTTTGAAAAGAGATCCAGCAGAGCTCACATGACAGCACGGAGCCCGCTGACACCTCGGGACAGCGTGTCCTGCCCAGGCTGTCAGCTTGGCTATTCCAGGCTTTGGCACTGCACAGGGACAGGGCAGGGGAATCCCCGGGAAGGGGCTGCACAGAGGATCTTCAAATAGCAGCCAACAACACCCAGGCACTGCACTGCAGCAGCAAAGGTACACTCTGAACACTGGCCCGTTTTTACTTGGCACTGTCTTAGCTCTGCACTTTCCCTTTTATTCCTGCTTCCAAATGTCCGACAGAGTTCTGCAGTATCACACATTTTAACACTGAGTCTTGACTATGACTGTAAACCAAAACATCTTTAAATTGCGTGAAGCATCACACAGCTTTCCAGAAAGTGAATAAAAGAACAGGATCATCATAAACATCACAGGAAAAATGGCCACAACCCACATGGGATGAACAGCTCCTTCTCCCACACTACTGTCACCTTACTCTGTACAGTTATTACTCCATGCAGCAGCACTCACAGGTAACCTGGGGTTTTTCCAAATACAGGGAAAACAAAAACTCTCTTGTGCAGTCAGCTCCCCTGTCACATCCCCAGCTGCAATTCCTCTCTGCATACCAGTGTTCATACACCTAATCAGTAGAGAGCAAAACACAAAATCCCATCAAACCCCTGATACCTTGCAGGTACCTGACAGGTGGGATTCTCAGGGCAGAACAGCCCAGGGCACTTGGTAGCAAAGGCCAGGATCATTAGTTACAAGACACTCATTAAGGAGCAGAACCTCATCAGCATCCTGGCACTCAGTCCCAGCCGCCCCGGTGCCCCGGGTGCTCCTGGTGAAGCAGCTGTGCCCAGTCTGATCGGGTATCACCATGTGTCTCAGGATGCCTCCAACTCAACTGCAGGCCAAATTATTTGCTCCCAGATGTATAATCAACATGACAGGACCGTGCACCTCTTGAGCAGGCAGCAAAGCAGCAGCTTGTGCTCAGCGTTACAACTGCTTTCTGTACCAACACTTTTCACCCTCCTGCAAGACACAGCAGCTGCTCTGTGTGCCCTGTGCTCAGCCCTGCTGCTGCCCACCACACACACACACACAGAACTGAGAGTTAAAGCACAGATATGTCACACACACAAATCTGATTCCCCCTCAGTTACTGTATGCCTCTCTTATCCTCCTACACAGGGACTTGTGGGGGAGCCAAGCAGGTCTGTTTGGGTACCTTGTGTAAAACAAACAGAAACAAACAGCAAGTCATATATGGTTCCAGAAATCCACAAGCTGATTAAAACCAGTAAAGTACACGATTTAACCTAGTGCACAAATGTCCATCTTTTACCACACATGGGGAGTGTGAGACTGAAATGCAGCAGGGCACACCCAGCAGGCCCCCAGGCAGCTGTGATACCCACAGGGATGGGAGTACCATCCCTGGGTACCCACTGCCAGGGCAGCCAGGCTGTGATGCCCACAGGGATGCACTGCCAGGGCAGCCAGGCTGTGGTACCCACAGGGATGCACTGCCATGGCAGACAGGCTGTGGTACCCACAGGGATGCACTGCCAGGGCAGCCAGGCTGTGGTACCCACAGGGATGCACTGCCAGGGCAGCCAGGCTGTGGTACCCACAGGGATGCACTGCCAGGGCAGCCAGGCTGTGGTACCCACAGGGATGCACTGCCAGGGCAGCCAGGCTGTGGTACCCACAGGGATGCACTGCCATGGCAGACAGGCTGTGGTACCCACAGGGATGCACTGCCATGGCAGCCAGGCTGCCACTCCTCCTAGAGCCACTGTGCTGCTCACTGCAGGCTCCCCAAAGGCTGCAGCAATGCAAACTGTTTTACAGAATAAACACAACCACATCAGCACCACTTTCTTCCTCTCTACTGCCCAATAATATTCTTCCTCTTCCTTGCTCTTAAAATAAATCTGCCAGGATACTCTATGAGATTACCTATATATTTAAATGATGATCTGACCTTATGATTACATTATCGCTGTGGTTCAGGGTAGGTGCTCTGGGGAAGGCAGCCCAATCCTAGGAGAGTATTATTTTCGAGTGACTTTTATTGTCCATTACTTTACACCATTTCTGTCACAGCTATGATGCCTGGTAGGAATAGTTCACAACAGAAATATCTTTGTCGTTAGTATTCTCATTGCAATTTAGTCAGATCAACCTTTAAATCTCATCCGTCATACTGAAGAGCTTTGGCAAAGCGAGCACAGTAATATATGCTTCCATGCAAAACCTAATTACAGGCTAGGTTAAAAAGCCTACCCTGTTCCTTCTGCAGTGCAAGGTGACAGGAAATCCTGAGCATCCCTTGGTTTCTCACTCTCCCTTTTTGCCGGTGAAGTGCGTAACCCGTTCATTACAGCAGACTGATTCTGTCTGGCACATGACAAACTTACTTGAACCTAACAATTAAACTTCTGACAGCGTTTCCAAAAGCAGAGAGTATTTACTGTAAATGCCTGACAATTTTTTTCCTCTCTGCTCATCTCTCTCAACAGTCACCTTATGATGACTGGAAATTACCATAAGCAAATAGCAGTCTAACATCCAAAAAACCCCTCATGTAAATGTGAAATACACACCTGCCAACACTGAAAAAAAAATGAATATGAATGTTAAACGAAACAAGACGAGGAATGGCACTGAAACGCTTGAGGAGAGAACACTGCAAGAGCACAGTTAGAGAATGTGATTCAGTAAAAAAGTGCCCAGCAAGAGCTGCCTGTGGAGGGTGGTGGTCATGCACGGCCACCCTGCCCTGTGAGAGGGACTGGAGACTCTCTCACCAACAGCTCTGGCTGCACTGAGGGAATTCAAGCAAAAACTGTTAAACAGAGTCCAGTAAATCACCCAGAAACAGCTTCTGAATTTCAGGCCTAGCATCACGATGAAACTGCATCTCTAGAGTCACACACACAAACATTACAGTGTGAGTTACCTGCGATCTGTAACCCCCTGGGAAGGATGAGGGTCCTTGTAACAAACTGACCACTGAAGAGAATGGTGGTTTAGTCACACCTCACATTTCAGAGGGTTGGATTTACCCTGAGAGCAGATGCAGATGGGTTTCTGCTAAGACTTTGTGCAAACCAGATTTTCAACAGCCAGTAAGGGATGGGCTCCTCAAAGACCCCAAATCCCCTAACTGAGAATGTTTTCGTGAAATGGCTGAAAAGCCCTGGAGCTTTTTCATACCCTGTCAACAACTGATACTCATTAAACAAATGCTGTGACAGACACCATAATTCA